GATGGAATGGTTTCATTTTTCAAAAGAAAATTTTAATTTTATTTGTTTGATAGATATTTTGTATGGATATAAAGAAGGAGGTAAATGGAAATGTATTATTGAATAGCAGCTGTCCACGCGAACGCATCGCTCACTCGAGTAGGAGAGAGACAGATGTCGAACGCTGCCAAACGCGGAGGCCGATTGTGCCTCTTTGTCGCTCGTTCCGCGCTCTTGCTTGCACTTCAAGCCTTAAATAGAACGCCTCAGAGCGAGGTAACGCCGCATGAGTCATGTTTTTTCGTGCGTGCAGCCAGCTCCATCGAATTATAAGACGTTGTCACGTCAAAAAACAAATTCATGGCGGATTCATGTATCTAAACGTTTTTTTAAACAGAATTCTTCATTATAGGAATAGGACATAATAATAGGATGATTACCAGGCTACATAAATAAATAAATAATCTTCCATTGCGAGCAAAAGCCGTTCCCGGAATAATAAATCCATAAAATGCAGGAAACCTTTTGTTGTTTATTTATGAAATAAAACTTCACATTTTCCAGAAGTTAATGCATTTCTTGAAACTAATTATGAATGTTTGCATGACAAAACAAACAACATCGATCTTGTTTTCCAATTAAAAAAAATTGTACGGTCGTATTTCAAAGAAAAATATTTAAAATTTAATAATTTTATAGATAACGAGCAATTTAATTGAGTAATCATGGTTCGTTAAGTGTTATTTGTTAATCAGTCTATGAAACAAACAATAGATACAAACATTTCCCAAAATGTAAACGTGAATACATTTTTCATTTGATTGTCGATTTTAACCTACTGATATTTCGTAATGTTTTTCATTTAATTTTATTTAAACACTTTTGTATAATTTTTCTGTCATATGTAACTAATACAATATTAGGTATAATAAAACAATGTCAATTTGAAAAGGTTCGTAATAGATGCTATCATTATTTTGTTGGAGACTCTTCTTTAACGCGTGGGTTTAGCTACTAAAACCCCTCTACGTCAGGCCGTTATAGAATCAATTAAAATCTTCTTCAGCCAATTGATGTTCAGAGTTTTATGTGATTGTATTAAAAATGCGTTTGGGTGTGTGTGTGTGGGGGGGAGGTTACTTTAAGGAGTTGGGAAGGTTATCCAGGTAATTGAGGTATTCGTCAGGGAGGTCGGGGATTGTTAGGTCAATTAGCGACCGTATAAATAGTGGAATCAATAATAATCAAGGTCACGAAGAAGGGTGGTGAGGCGGCTTCCTATCTTCACTTACCCTTCCATTTTCCACTTTTATATTATTTTAAATTCAATTCAATTATTGTTGGAGTAAACAAATTGTCTTTATCTATTGGCTAACATGAAATTATTAAATAAATTGTTGACTAAGTTATTCTAAATTATATAAAATCATTTTTAATATTGCACAAAAGTAATTGTAGTTGTAAATGTACAACATATAAAATTCGTTTCATTATTATAGTATTGTTATGGCACGTTTGAGACACGCATGCGTGAGCTGTGTAGCCAGTCGTTCCGTACCCTTTTCTTAACGTACGTAGGATACCGAGCCGTTATTACATTTCATATTTGGCGACCTACGTAAACACTGTATGAATTGCTACTGAGTATGTGCATACTTACACCTACTTACACAAACAAAAGAAAATTAAATTTATTTTAATTTTAGAACTTTCATTTCGCCTACGTATAAAGGTATTTTTTTTTAACCCAGTAAAGCTAATATCAGCAGAAATGTTCATGAATAATTTCAAAGAAACCTTGTTTAAGAATGGTATATATATATATGTACGTAAATAAAACATCCTTTAAATATTAAAAAACAAATAAGCAATTTCCGATTCCGAAGGATTCAATATTCCACGAAATAATAAATTATTAGGGATTTCCTTTCCTTTTGTCTTGCCTCAATGAAGTTGACCTTAATGAAAATATGTTTCTTTTTTTTGTAAGTATCTCATACCTATGGAAAGAAGCTTTTATGAAAATTAATTAAATTTTATAATACCTACCATTAAAATTATTATGAACTAAATTCTAACTAACAAAGTTATCAACGATTAGTGTAACGGATTTTCCTTTCGAAGACAAATAAATTACTTTTTTCGTTATTACTTCAGACACAGCTTAATTTCATAGCAATATTATTTGTTAATAACACCAAAAAACGTTGAAGTCTCTGAATTGTTATTGTTACCTTATTTGCAAGTATCAAAGACCTTCATTTGTTGCAAAACAGTTGAAAAGACAAGGAATGGTTGATTTATACGAAGTCGTAGAAGGGCCAAACATAATTTTTTTTTTCGATTTGTAACTCGAAATTTCGACTTGCAACTCTTAATTTCGGTTTGTAACACAACCCATCAGTATAAGACGATAGGCTTTCAGACGTTTCGTTGGCAACTGTATCCGAAATCTTCAGCGCCCACGTTTCAATGTAGTATCACTGAAGATGTTAACCGCAATTACCAACGAAACATCTGAACCTAACAATCCATTTAGATCACGGTTTTTCAGCCCGAATCATAATTTTACTCATCAGTGTTGTGATGATTATTGCTCGTTAATGAATTGTTTATTAGGTTAGAATTGAGTTAGATAAGATTGGTTCAATTGTTGTTCAACAAAAAAGAACAGTACATGACTGACTTCGTTCGCATTGTTTTTACATACCCCAAAAATTATTATAATACCCTAATTGAACTTAAAACTATCATTAGTTTGACTGTAAAATTACAGTAGGTAAACACAACATGAACGAAATATGTTGTAGTACCTACTGTTGTCCTTTCCTTAAATTGCTATGGCTTAAATTGGGATTGAGTTAGGTTACAATAGGTTGCGATTCAATAGGCATTTCGAGATGCAAGTCAAAATTTCGAGGTATAAGTCGAACTTTCGAGTTGCAAGTCGAAATTTCGAGTTACAAGTCGACATTTCGAGATTCAACTAGAACATTCAAGTTACAAGGCGAATTTTCTAGTTACAAGTCGATTTTTCGCGTTATAAGTCAAAATTTAAAAAAAAATATGTTTGGTCCTTCTACGCCTTCGTAGGTTTACAAGTACATTTTAGTTTCTGATTTTTATTTTTTTTTTTCAATACTACGAATAAATTAACTTTTTGACTACAAAATCATAAGGATCCGTTAATAGGTAACCCCAAAAACACTTCTATGTATGTCCCTGTTGAAAGGCAGAATGCAGTTTCAACCAAAATAAAACCAATCATTTCAATGCGCAAACAATTCGTTTTAATGTTGGTAACTATGTTAAAGTTAAAACCAATTACTTTTAATGTGCTAAGTATGAATTGTATTGTTATGGTGGCAAAGTTAATGTAATTTTTTCGAAGGGAAATTGTATATTTCATTAACTAGTTTGCCGTCCCTCTTTCTCTATATCTCTTCCTCCGTTCCTATCTCTTTGTAAATTATTTTCGTTGTGTCACCACCCAAACAATTTGCCGTGGTCCGGAGAGTCCTTAATTAATTTTCCCAGAGGCTCATGTTGGATGTACAATAATCCTTTGAGGGCTGCACTGGTTGTTTGCGGACCAAGTGTTGGCGAAATTCGAGATCACTTCCGGACAAAGTTTTTACGTTGGTAATTGTATTGTAGTTTTACTTATAATGAATTCATGTGAGAGATGCTCGTCGTCTTCAAAAAAGCTGCAAACGATTAATTTAAATAACAAAATCTAACCGTTGCATATGCAGTGTTTCTAATTATCGAAAAAAAATTGAAAAAGAGGCGCAACCATACACAGAAATTTGCAATATTAGAGAGCTTTCATCGTAAATAAAATAAGCTCTTCTTCAGGCTTTTAAAAGTAGGTACCAGTATTTTTTCGTTCTTTATATGGAAAAACAGTGTTGAATTTTATAAACAACAATGTGTTGTTGTTTATCCGAAATGTATATGTTATACAATATTACAAGTTTTATCACAAACGCAATATACTTATCAATGTTTTTCTACATCATTATTCCAAAAAGAATAGAAAAACGCAAAAAATCAATTGTCCGGGTGAAAAATATAGACAGTGAAAAAGCTTATGTGTACGCGTACTTTACGTTTTTTTTTTATTTAAAACCTTTTAATCCCAAAATTTTGAGAACTCGGTGTCTATATCCAATCCATACCGACAAAACTGCATGATACACAAAAAAGAAGCAAAAATAAACAGAAAAAGACTCGCATAAAATACTGGTTTAGGAAAAATGACGATTGTATGCATGATTATTGTAGTTGCAGAAGGCAGAAGGTGGGTGTATTATTCGAGAAGATGTTTTGCTGCAATAGCTGCAGCATAAGGTCGTAAAGACAAACATTCAGTCTTATTGTTTAGAAGAAAGAAGTTATTTCATAATTTTGTATGTAGTATCATCATATCACCATCTAGCATCATGGGGTCGTTAGTCTTAAGACTGGTTGGTTAGGTTAGGTTAGGTTAGGTTAGGTTAGGTTAGGTTAGGTTAGGTTAGGTTAGGTTAGGTTAGGTTAGGTTAGGTTAGGTCATATCTGCTTAGAGCACGTCGAATGCTTTAAATTCACCTTTTAACGGTATTAATATACGGAAAAAATTCTCAAAAGGTGGCGTAAGCGAAAAATTGGCATGTCTAGCTATCTCTATTATATCTATCCCCGAATAGTGAAGAGATCATGACCGATCGACCAGTAAACTACACCTGCATGTTTTTTGTACGTGTACGTTAATTGTTCGTATATACGATGTGGTTGTCTACATATGTATTTTAGTATTTCTCAGTCTTTTGCAAATCATTACCATTTAAAGGCACGTCCCGCCACTGTGTTATAGGCTTTCGTATGAACAGGAAATGTAGGGCAACGGTCGCAACCGACCCTTTATTACTTATTTGTTCAAGACATCTCGAGTTTTCGCCTTTTCACCGTCTTTCCGAACGCACATTTTAGCCAAGTATTGCTATTGACTGGAAATTTATTGAGTGTTCTTGTTTCAGTGTGATGGAGGAGCGGTTGCAGGAACTGAAGAAGTCTGTCTTCCCCAGTCGAGGGTAAGTAGCGAAAAGCTTACAATATGTGAGAAGAACCTCTTTATGACGTAGTCAAACAAGCAGTCGCTGTTTTACAGAGAAAATTACCTGAGATGCTGTGTATATGTTAACGGAATATGTGTAATCCGTCCTTGATTTTAGGAGTTATACACAATTCCTAGGAAATGTATATAATTCCTAAAATCGCCCAAAAATGTTTAAAACAAATTATATTAGACACATTTCCTAGTAAATCTATACATTTCCTAAATAGCAATCAGAAATGTATTACATTCAAAATAACAATGGGCAGACGGGGTTAGCGGAGCGACGGGAGGGTATTGCGTCATCCGATCAGACGATATTGTATTCACAGATAACTTTGATTCTCAGTTTACTAACGTGTTGTATTCACAGAAACTATTAGTTTTATACATTTCCTAGTACAATATCGAATTTCATACAATTCCTAGGAAATGTATACATTTCCCAGGATATGTGTGTATTAAAAAACCTTTGAAACAATATTTTATACACTTCGTAAATATCCTCGGAATTGTATACATTTCCTAGGAATTGTATACAATGCCTAGATTTCATGCATTTCCGGTAACCATATACTCTAGCGCAATTATGTCGTAAATGATTCATAAACTTGGGTGATTTTATTAATTAAATAAAAGGAAAAGTTTTGAAACCAATCTTTACAACAGTTCTTCGAAAACTATTATAAATAGAAATGCGGCTAGAAATTTCGCGCTGGATAGCTGCTTTATCTCTGAAGGTAAAATTAAACCTTTTTCACGGGTTGGGCTAACGATAGATACACCTTACGAGTCAAAGTAGGGGAGACCGGGGATGGTTGACTAGTTTTTTACTGAATAGTTCATATTTTTTGTGTTTTAATGTATATAGACAAGAAAAGCATGTTAATTGATAGAAAATCTATTAACCTAATAAAAATATGTAATATTTAGTTCTTAGTTTAGTATAATAGTGATGATTTAATGCATTTTACAAAATATTAAATCTTAGTCAATCTACCCCTGGCCCGGGGTAGGTAGACCATATGCCCGGGGTAAGTTGACTCATGTACCAGTAAGAGTCAAATCATGAGAAGGAGCAAATAATTAAACATTTTTTTAATATAACTGAACCTTTTGTTAAAAAATAAACTGGCTAAAGTTTCCTCTTCTAGATTAATAAAAATTTGTCAATTTTTTATATATTCCACTGTGTCCAGGGTTAATTCTGCTCTCGTCAATTTCGGATTCTGTTCTAATTTTTCTTTTAATTTGGCCACGTAACGATTTAAAAGTCCAACAAAAAGTTAATTTATGTGTTGTTTTCAACTACATATTTCATTGGGGTTGGTTGAATAATTATTTAACCAGCCCCGAAAAAAATTGGTCTACCAACCCCAGACGCCATTTTTAATTTTGATCGCATGGCTAGCCTAAACACTGCCGTTGACTTGAAAAATAAGATATGAAATATGATAAATGTGCCCTCATTAAACGCTAGGACTAATAGAAAAATGATTTACATAAAACGAGTAGGCATCAGATCAAAAAATACAATATATCAAAATATTACTTATGTAATTGAATTATGAAAAACATGTCAGTGTTCGAAAACAACGCACGACCGCGATGTGACGCTTCAGACAAATGAGCGGGACGCGAAATGTAATGCTTGGTTATGATCAGATGACAGTTCATACACTGTCGAAGAATTTTCGGTAGTTAGTCTACCAACCCCTATAGTCAACTATCCCCGGTCTCCCCTAACGCTAATTTACAATACAGTAGCAATTAAAAATTTGTTATGCTTGTACATAAATCAGTAAAAAATTTTTGTTTTTACAGTTTGTTAGTGTCTTAGATATTTAAACACATTTTCACATTTATTTAAAACCTTTGCAGTCAAACAACTATCAGTTATAAAGAGTTTATCAATCACTATTATCTTCAATACCCAAGTATAGGCAGAGTATAGATTAACGTTAGAATTTGTTTAATTCATGATTTCCTTCTATAAACAAGAGCATCAATCTTTCACAGTAAAAGTCTCAATTAAATATTTTGGGGTTGCAAAACTCCCTTTAAGACTTTAATTTTATTCGAGGAGAAGATGTTTTGCTGCAATAGCTGCAGCATAAGGTCGTAAAGNAATGGTTTTATTTTTGGAAATCAACAGAAATTTACGTAATTATCATTTAGCAATTTAAAATTATGCTAAAAAGTTAATAAAGTTAAGAGCAACTGGCACCCTCACCTATGTAAATTTTTAGCAATTGTTTTTTATGTTATTAAATAAAAGAAAGTTAATATATTTTTATGTTCAATTTTAAAGAAAATATATTTTTCTATTCGTAACAACATCATCTCTTCGTTTTTTCTCAATTACTGCGATATTCTAAGAAACCAAACAGTTTTCAGAAACCTAATTAGCTGAATTAGTTTAGTTTGTTAGTAATGAATGAGTTTTAAAAATTTTAGGTTCCTTGATAAGACAACTGCATAATTTTAGTTTGTGATAATACGAGATGCTTTGCAAAATATTTCGGAGAAATTTTTGATAAAATAATTCAAGAGTGCATAGAGAAAGTAGCACTAAACATAATTAATTAATGACAAGAATATCAGCATATACTTATGTGCTCTAAAACACCTCAACAATCGACACAATATGCTAGAAACATAGAAAGCCGAAAAATGCCTTTTATTTAATGTTATTTAATAAAATGTTTCACAAGAAAATTACCAAAGGCAGTAAAATTCTGTTAGTAACCACACTTTTTAATTTTATTGTTTAAAATGGCGTATTGTAGTAATTACAAACTCAGAGGTAACTAAACGTTTGAAAAATCAGATTTATAGTTTCAAAATAGTTCTCAGGTATTCGCAACTCTCATTTCCTTTTGAGTTTACCCATAGAGGATAGAAAGCGTTCGTTTGCATTGCTGACAATTCGAATCGAAATTTATTCGTTACAAACTAACACATTTCACGAACGAATGCAAACGAATGCGAACGAATGGCAACATTTTTCAGATGTATTCCCGACCTTAGAGCTTTCAAATCGCCACTACTGATAACACGTTGTTGCGGGCGAACTTTGTAACGATTTATTGACTTTCAAAAACGCAAATGTTCAATCATCTGCAAGTGAGTTGATGGCTACAGTTTTCTAGGTGCGGGTCACATTATTGATTAAATTATGCAGGAAATCGCTGTATTAGAAAAGAAATTCTGGAATGTGGTTCAGATGAAAATTAGCCTATTGTAACTAGCAAATTAACGTTGATTTCTAACAATCAATACAAGCAAAGGAAAATGTTTCTTTCTTCATATAGTTATTACAGCAGTTACTGAATGCCAATCATGTAACTTTTTATACCCCTAAAATAGTATAATAGTATTTTTTTTTTCGCATTGTGCAATATCAGATTTTTTTAGTAATTTGGTCTTTTGGACCTTATGTATAAATTAATGTAATATAAATAAAAAATCTGCTGTGTTAAAATCTGCTGAGGCTAAAGTTACAACATGGAAGCTTTTGCCCACGGCTTCGCTCACGTTGATGATCAAAATACTTGTCAAAGATCATCAAAAATACAATAATTTGTTAAAAAATAGTCCTGGCCACGATTATCAGGATAAAATTTAAGTTTCTATTTTTCTAGGTTAAACATACACTTTACGTAGAATAACAGTAAATACGGTCCTCCTTTATCGACATGAAAAGAAATTTTTCTATTTCTCGGGAATAGTATCTTTTTGAAGTGAAACTTCTTTACGCACGGTAGGGTAATTTCGTTTCATGCGAGTTGGTATGTAACGAAATCATAAAACGCATTTCCCCCGCTGTCTGTTCCTATGTATGCTTAGATCTTTAAAACTGTGCAACGGATTTTAATGCGGTTTTTTTAATAGATAGAGTAATTCACGAGGAAGGTTTATATGTATCATACATACATAAGATAGTCGAGAAACACTGATAATTTTAGAGGTTTGTAATGTGATGTCGTAAATAAACACATTTTTTGCGCTTACATTGCAAACGCTGGCTGAACCTTACGAGATAAATCAAAATAATATACTACAGTACTGTACACCTTAAAAAGGTCTACAAAAAAGTCCGGGATGGTATATGTCTATCTCTTAGGGATAACCCACAATAACCTTTTTTATCCTTTACTTTTTACGAGAAATAATGGCTTGTTTACGAAGCGATTTTGTACTTTTAAATACATTGTACATTTAATATAGATCAATATGGCCCTTTACAGCATGTAATTTAAACCAATTCCTTAATCCCTATCCCGGTATGTTTGTGTGTTTGAAGAAGTTTCACTTCAGTAGCGTGTTGTATAATTACACGTTGTATTTTTTTTCTAGATAAACCGTACCATATGTCCTTTCCTGTACCCCTGACAATGTGTATACAAAATTTCATGATTATCGGTTGAGTTGTTAAGGCATGAAATGGAAATAAACAAACAAACATTCGCATTTATGACATTTAGTTAGGATTTTCCCAATTTGACACTATTTATGCAATTATTTAAATTTAAATGACAATGTATTTAGTGCCACAGTATAACTATTAGCGGATACTGTTTTAGTTTTTGGTGAACAGAGATTCGACTATTTGGCAATCGATCAGGAACAACAGAACACCGTTTCTTGCTTTTTGCATTTGTATGAGTCAGTTACAAAATTCATGTTTTTCACTCGCGTAACGAACTTTTGATGTTGATTTCGATTTGCTTTGTGTTTGGGTTTTGTAAACGTGGTCGCAGAGCTTCACTAGGCAAAATAATTAGTTTACCTACGTTCGCATCGAATGACTCTGGAGCGAATGTTCTCCAGGTGCAAACGTCCAGTAAAAGCAGGCTTTTCAAACTCCAAACAAAAATACACCCCACTGACTCATATGTAACCTGCAGTTTTCCTAATAAATATTTACACATATACATATATCTATATTACAGCGTGCGATCTTTATCGAAAATT